ATCGGGCGGGGGCGGGGGCAGCCTGTGCACTGCAGGATTTACAGTATCCCTGGCCTCGACCCATGAGATCCTAGTAGTACCTCCTTGTGCCAATCAAAACAGTCCCTAGACAATGCCCAATGTCCCCCTGGGGAACAAAAGCACCCTTGTTGAGAACCGCTGCTGAAGATCAAGACGTGGCACATTTCCAGGAACCCAGAAGGTTCCATGAACCTTCCCCCAAACCCTGCCATCCCGAGGTGCCACCACGCTGCCTCTCTCACTACACAGTATGTCTCCCCTGCTCCTGAACTTCACATACGTTAAGGGGTCCCACAGGGTGTGTCTTCAGACCCTGGCTTCCTTTGCTTAGTATCATTATGTCAGTGAGATTCACCCACAGCTTATGTGTGGCACCAACTCCATCACTGCATCAGTTCCTCACTCTGCTTCTCTCCCACCTCCAACCTTCTCCTAGGGATTCTCCCAGGGACAGGACTGTCTGGATGGGGCCTGGGAGAGATCTCCAGTCTCTCTGTCCTGCTTCCCGCCCTGAGCTGGGAATCCCTGCACCTGGCTGGGCGTGAGGGGCCTTGGAGACACAGGGAACCCTGCAAGGTGCCATTTCCTGTTCCTGCCCTGTTTCCACCCCAGTCTCAGCTCAGGTGTCTACACAGCAGGCCCAGAGAGGCTGAGATGAGTCAGAAGCTCCAGGAGGAAAAGAAGCCAGGGAAAGGAGAGAGGCCTGTGGTGCTCAGCCTGCTCCCAGGGGCCACGGGGGTGGGGGCGTGGCTTGCGTTTGAAATGTATACAGAACGGGAACATGTGTGGTCGAGGGTAAGCGACCATCAGGGGGCCTGAGGGATGTCTCAGACAGCTGTACAGGTCATCACCACCCAACTACAGTGGTGCCAGGCACACTGAGGTCCCTTAGAGCCATGCAGTGGACCAGCTGCACAATGGGGTGGATGACCGTAGCAGACACGGTCATCCCTTCCAAGGACCCTGGAGGTCACTGCAGAGGTGCACAACACTAACAGCACCTCACAATGTGCATTCCAGGAATGGCCCTCAACTGGGGTCTGGGGGGCAGCTGGATCATGGCCCCAGTGCCATCAGCCTCCCTGGGAAGACTCTGACCCCTGTCCCACGCAGGGAGTACACACCTGCTGCCTGCAGTGGGCTGCTGCTTACCAACACGTATTTGTTGAGGGTCCTTCCTGTCGTCCCCCTCTGTGCTTCCTGCACTCACCTCCTAATAAGCTCCTGCACCCAAAGCCTGGTCTTGGGGTTTGCTCTCGGGGGGGGTCCTCTGCCCAGCTCTGTTCTACTGCTCTCAAAGCAGGTCTCAGTGTGGGACACGGTCCTGCACGCGTGCCTGGATGTACCTCCCCCTGGTGGAGTGCGAGCTCCACTAGGCCAGGGGTCCCTCCCCAGCATGTGAAGTTCTGCCTGGTGCACAGCAGGTGCTCAATACACTGTGCAAACCATGGACAACACTCTGCTTTCAAAGACGACATGCAAGGGGAGTAAACATCATTGCCACCCCTTGTGCCCAACATACACACACACACGCACAGGCATCCACACAATCACACATGTACACACATGCACATGTTCACACGTACACATTTGTACACTCATTTCCACATGTGTACACATGCCCACACATTACATGTGCACACATGCAGCCACGTGCATACTCAGCTCAGTGTAGAGAGCTGAGGGATCCCTGTGTGCGGGTCCTTCTGACCACAGCGACTGACCTGTTGATGAACTCTTCATAGCAGGAGTAGATAGCGGCCAGGCACACAGCCACCAGGTTGGGCAGGACCCGGGGGTGGGGACAGTGCCCTGTGGGGCCGTGCATACTGGAACAGAGCAGAGGGGCGGGTGAGAAGGCCGGGGGGGGTGGGCCCAGTCAGCAGCCAGGCTGCCCGGCCCTGCCGGCATGGCTCAGACAGCTCTAGGCCTCTGCTGTGGGGCTGGTTACACCCGGACGTGGGTCCTGACTATGCCACATACAGACAGCAGGAGCAAAACTCCAGACTGGGCACTCAACCCAGGTGCCTGGCTCCAATCCAGGTACTTACCCTCTCTATCTCAATTTCCTTCTCTCTAGAAATGGGGGGATAATAATAGCCCCTCCTCCACGAATTACAATGACGGTCTAATGTCCCAGTTCATGGGAGAGCTTAGCATATGGTGACCTGGGACACTCCGGGGGATGCCTGGTAGTTCTGGAACAATTATTCACAATGTCTCCTTTGACTCTCAGAAGTGTCCCAGTTCAGAAGAAAAACAATCAGGGTTATCCCAGCCTCTCAGAACAGAGTCCAGGCCACGGTCGCCAAGTGCTCAGTGAACATCAGGGAGTACGACTCAGCAGGCCCAGTGTCCCCGTCTATAAAGTGGCACTAACACCCCAACACCCAGGACTGTTTGAGGGTGTGGGGTCATGTTCTTAACTTTTCTGGACCACAGCCTTTGAGACTACTGTCACTGAGAGGCCTCAACTGAAGACACTGAGATCATACTGGTGGGTCAAGGGGACCTGGGAGCCACCAGGACACCTGGCAGGACACACTGTTCGGGGCTGGATGTGCTCTGTGAGTCCCCTGTGAGTGTAATTAGCAAGAAGCTTTGAGACTCGTTTAAACAGGTTAGTCTGATGTTCCTTCCTTAAAAACAGGAACCGTGATGGAGTAACCGCTAACACATCACACGTACTTGCCATGCACGGCTCGCAGTGTTCGACATGGATTTGTTCACTGCATTCTCACACTGACTAGCGGAGGGGGTACTATGACTCTTATTTTACATATGAGGAAAGTGAGGCAAACAGAGGATATTAAAGACAAAAGCAAAAACAAAAACAGAAAAAAACCACCAGGAATAAGAACAAAAATATCGGGTTCCCTCTTGTCTAAGTACAGGGAGGGAGCTGACGAGCCCTGTGCACACTGTGCCCACAGTCCAAGGGCAGAGGGACATCACTGAGCATCAGAGAGGGGCAGTGATGGGCTCAGCGGCACACAGCAAGGAAGGGGCCTCAAACCAGAGAGGAGACGCCTGGGCCTTCGACCGCCACCAGCGGCCCCCCTGCAGGCCCACATGGCAGTGGCAGTGGACTCATGGGGAGGCCAGAGGAGGGCGCAGTGGGGACCTACCTCTGAATAAACTTCTTCACCACTTCCATGCCTGCGTTGAGTTCGTTCAAGGCAAGGATGTACTCCTGAGTGAACAGCCTCAGTCGAGGGCACTTCCCAAAGTCCTGCAGAGGGAGGAGAGGCAGGGCTGGCGGGGTGCTGCAGAGCGGGCCCGTGAGGACCACACGGGGCGAGCCCTGCACTGCGTGAGCAGCACGGAGGCAACCACATGTCCTCTTTCAGGAAGCAAGAATTTTCCATTTCATTTCATCTTTCGTTTAAAAAACCTGGTCCTGTCACACCCCTGCTTAAAGCCTGTCACGGCTACCCATGGAGACCCACAAAGTTCCTGGCACTTTATAGCTGACCCACTGGCAGGGCCCCCACTCACTCTTCGGGAGGGCACCATTCAGGGAGCTGCTCAGACACCCTCAGAACAGTCCTGGCCCTTGGGGAAGCTAGAAACCCTTTTCTGCACCCAGCTCAGCATTGGGTCACAGCAGCTTTGTGAATGGGTCGGCTAGACTCACACTTCGCCTTGGACCCAGAGGCAGGAGCGACGAGTCATAGCATGGTCTTGACCCAGCTCTCCAGAAAAACAACACCGTTTACCAGCAAGGCAACTGAGGGACACTCGGTGGTCTCCAAACTTCCCCTTTGTCCCCCAGCCCCTCCCCGACCACGGAGCCTATTTGTAAAAACGACCCGAGCAGGACTCTACTCTGTATGGTAAAAGTAACAGTGGAGACTTGCCTCCCAGATCTAACTGGTCCCACAGGGCCTAGTGGAGCTCAGAGTAGACCACGTTTCTACCACATCCTCTGGCCAGCTCACTGGAGGCCTTCCCAGAGCCACCAAGATGTCTTCACCTGGAGTCCATGGGCTCAATGGGGTTCCTCAGAGCAATGGAGGTGGGGCAGCTGCCCTCCTGCCCAGGCTCCCCCTTTACACAGAGGGCACTGGAGCCCGTGGGGGGGTGAGCAGGCGCTAAAGGCTCACACACACGTGTTCACACGGTGCCGGGCCAGAACACCAGAAGGCTGAGGGTCGCAGCCCTGAAAAGTGCGGAGGAGGAAGGCCACTGGCCCCTGGACACGGTGGCGGCGACAGGAAAGGCATGTGGCCCTGGGCTGCCCCACGCCCTCTGGGTCTTTCTCCTCACTGTACACTGAGGGCTGGAAGAGCAGATGTCAAAGGCCCTCTTCCACCTCTAGGTTTCAAGTGTCAAGTGCTCCAGCTGTGCCCTGCCACAGGCCAGTGCTGTGGCCTCTGCTGCTCACTCTGGGGGTGGGGGAGGGGGTGCGGTCATTCCCTGGAAGGGCCCTGGCAGCCCCGTGACATAAGGGCATGATGTTTCCCCTCCTTGGGAGAGTCAAATTACTACCTCTGAGAAGGAAGAGGGCAGATGACTCAGTGGTCCACTAGGGACCATAGTCACATCTTCTTGCCCCTCTGCCACAACCCAACACTCCAGTGAATGGCAGGCAGGCACAGAGCTACATGGCCATTCTTGGGGGTGCAGGTCAACTTCCAAAGGTACATACTAAAGAACTGCATCTACTCGTGTCCTTTATTGTGGTCCACAAACATTTTGTGTGCCTCTTAACCTCTCAGCTTAAGCTTGCTCATCTGTGAAAGGGGCCACACGTTATGTCGGCAGAACAGGAAAGCCTGAAATTCAAGAACACCACTGATGGGGGCGTACGACCGCCCCATTCCCCAAAGTTTCAAGTGTCTCTTTAATGAGGAGCACTGCCAGTGGGTGATGGGAAGTCACAATTCCCACTATTCTGACAGGCAGCAGGCTAGGCACACTCACTAGCCAGTGACTTACCCCCCGTACCCCTAGCCGGCAGCTGGCTGATTCCTAAACATCAGGGAAGAGTGTTCAGTGGGCGAACCCCGACAGTCTGCCCTTCTCACCGCCTGTATTGTTAACATTACATGAGATCACAGCTCCCCGGACTGGCACAGGCTATAATCACCACCCAACACGTGTCTGATCCCCGACGGTGGGGCCAGTCCTCTTGGGTCCCGCCTGCAGCTCTGTCTTGACCGTAGCTCACAGCTTGTAATTAGGAGACGCCAGGAGTCGAGCAGAATCAAGATGCTTTCCAGCACCCTGGCACCCCAGAATGCTGAGGGGGATACTATGAAAGTGAAGCACCCCTTCATGCCTGAGGGGCCCTGGACTCTGCCAGGCCTGGGCAGATACTACCAAACTAGATCTTCCCTGTAGCGGTTCTGATTTTTATCCAGAAAATTGTTCCCCGGCCAACACTCCTGCCTCGTAAAACTAACCAAATATAAGGGAATCATTGTACGGGTAAGCTAGGGAGGCTGTCTGAATTTTGACTTTTTTCCCCTTTGAAGTCAGATGTCCCCAAAAGACCTTTACTATAACAGTTTATTAACCACAATGGAATATTCAAAAATGTTTATGGGCCCCAGCCAAGTGTGCTTGGGGGTGTGGGCTCTGCAATAGTCAGGGGTGATGACTGACAGGTCCCTGCCAGGAGGAAGCCCAGCACCTACAGCTCAGGACTCTGACAGGGTGGGGCCCACACCCACGAGTGATTTGAAAGTTCACACACAGAGTGCTCTCCTCCCAGCCGACTGAAGCCCAAAAGGCTGTTCCTTGTAACTATGAGAGCCAGACGAAAGCAGAAACCCTGCCTGGTGGGGGCTCCAGGCATGTCTTCCTCTGGATAAATGAACTTATCCCAAATCAAGGAGGGTCTCGGAAGCAACAACTTCCTCATGGCCCGTGATCAGTCAGGGTGGAGCATGGTAAACAGGGGTCACTATCCTATCAACACAATGCAAGTAGCTGGCTGGCTGGCACACGCTATTCAGAAAGATTCTGGAGCCGTCTCTGGGCTCAGCAGCAGAAGTGCTGCAATCGATTAGTGATGTCTGCCACGAGTGTGGGTGGGAGCCCTGTAGTCTCAGGCCCACCTGCTCTGCCTCCCTGGTCACCCAAGGGTGAGTGCCAGGGAAACTCACCATGTTATGCTTGAGGATTCGCTGGACCACAGGAGTGAACACTTCGATGACCACCATGGACCGGGGCCGCTCTCTGCAGTGCTGGGGAGAGAGGAAGACATGTCAGTGTGGGGCCTGGCCACAGCCACTCAGGCCTGTGACCACAGTGACCCCACAGGGGGCACCTGCTACAAACTTTCTCCGGAGAAAAACCCCGGGGATGGAATTTTTGGTTTGCTTTTTGTTTGGAGCTGACCCTTGGGGTTGCTCAAGATGGGACAGACCAGAGTACGTGCTGATAGGAGCCCTTCTTCAGGAAAACAAGACTCACGATGTACCAGGGCGTGTCTCTCACTGGTCGGGCACGGGAACACCGAGGGTCCCCGGGTGGTGCGAACGGTGCATGTGCTCGGCTGTGAAGGGCCGAGTCCACCCAGAGGCCCCAGGGAATTAAGGCCTGATGACCTATCTCTGAAAATCAGCCGCTGAAAACCCCGGGGAGCACAGCTCGCCCCGACACGCACGGAGGCTCCATGAGTCAGAGTCGACTGGACGGTGACTGGATTTTGCCTTTTACTATTCAGATGCCAGAATCGTGAATGTTCTGAGATTCCCCTACTGCCTGCTTTGATAATTTGAGTCTGTAGGCCACACCCAGCTCTCCGACATATTTATTTTGCCAGCCTGGTGCTTTTTAACAACTGGAATCGTAGGCCTTTAGGCAGAGCAGGTGAGGCTCTGCCCTGCTCCCTGTTGTCTCACATACCCTTATAACCCTCTGGTCCCTAAGGGGAGTTTCCAGCCACAGGATGAGGACAGTGGGCCTGGGATATAAAAATCAAGGCTCTCCTGGGGAATCCGAGATAAACAAACTTTCCTCAGATCTTGGGGCTACCATCTCAGGGCCTGGCGGGAAAGGCCAGTCCGTGCTATAGACAGCTGGCTGAGCGTGCACACAGTGGGGTGGCCTTGGCCCTTCACACTCCCCGGGTAGGCTGACTGGTGGGCGTGGCTGACTGGTGGGCGTGGCCTGCAGGCAGCTGTCCCGGATGCTCCTCAGAGGACAAGCGGCAGGAAGAGAGCTGGGCCCCCTCCCTCCTTAACTTTAATTTCAACTTCAATGGTGGATTCTCTCGGGGCAAACTGAAAAGGATGGTCTCCCCCACTAAACTGTTTTTTAAACTGGGTTACCAGGAGCTCTCAGGGGCAGCCTGGATGAGGAGGGAGGGAGGAGCTGAGAGAGACCATGCCGCAAACTGCCCCCAACCACCTTAAACACTTCTGAACCACGTCTACCTCACTGGCGTGGGCAGTCCACACCTCCTGAGCCGGCAGACTGTGGCTGTGGAGGGAGGCAGGGGTCCTGTGCTCATGTGCCCGTGGGAGCCGGGGAGGGATAGGCACTAGTGACATGAGCTATCAGGAGCAGGGCCATGGGGGTGCTGGGAGAGCAGACTCGAGGCCATCCATCCTTCCAGAGCTGCCAGTTTATTACAGGAAAATCAGACAGTGAGGAACACAACGGGTGTGGTATGTATGGTGGTGAGGCCCCAGGCCCTGAGGGGCATTCTCAGAAAAGAGGTGGACTTGGTTCCCAACGTGCCCAGGGTATGCTATGTCCTATGCCCAGAGTATACCAGGTACCATGTCCAGGTGTGTACTGTGCCTGGCATGTACCGTACCCAGCATGTACTGTGTACTGTGCTCAGTATGTACCAGGTACCATGACCAGGTGTGTACTGTGTACCACACCTGGCATGTGCCATGCCTGGTGTGTACTATGCCCAGTGTATAGCTGGTACCATGCTTGGCATGTACCATACCTGGTATGTACTATGCCCAGTGTGTACCATGTCTGTGTCCAGTGTGTGCCGTGCCTGGTGTGTACTACGCCCAGCGTGTACGGTGTACAGTGCCTGGCGTGTACCATGGCCAGCATGTAATGTGCCTGGCATGTACTGTGTTTGGTGTATACTATGCATGGTGTGCACCATGTCCGGCATGTACCATGCTCAGTGTGTACTGTGTGGATCCCCTCTGGGAGCTCACCTGACATCCCCTGCCTGTGTCCCCACAGCCGCCCACTGTGGCCAACTTGAGAAGCCCTGAGTAAAGATAACCAGCTGTGACATCAGCCCTCAGCACACCTCTGTGCACTGACCCCAGGACGGTCAGCAGTTATCCACAGCAAGCTGGTCACTCTGAGTCCCCCTGGCTGGGACTCCGGGCTTGATGCCTCGCCACCTGGCAGCAGAGACAACAGCAGTCCCGAGGGGCCGTGTCCTACCCCTGTGCAATGCCGTACCTTGCAGAAGAATTCACAGAGATCTGGTGGTGGGTGGTTGTTTTCCAGCAAAGGAGCGATGGCCTGAAAGACACCAAACAAACGTCAGGGGGAGCCTCGGAGGGGAGGGGTCTGCAAAGGAGGGCTGGCTCATGATGGAAACGTGTCATTGCTACCTGGCAGGCAGAAGAGGCCCATTTTCCAACCTGAAGGCCAGCGCCCCTGAATTTAGGGGTTCACGGCTTCCTCTGAGAAGCCGACATGAGCCCTGGACTGGCCCCTCCCCATACACACCTACAAGGATAGCTATGATGTTAGGAGCTCTGTGATCCACTGCTGCCCGCCCACGTCGCTGCAGATCAACCACTCCTGACTAGGCAGTGTGACTAATCGTTATTACTGTCTCCTACCCTTGGCTTCCCCACCATACAATGGGTGAGATAATGCGCGAGAAGCCTCAGCGTGTGGACATGTGGAGCTGGTCGCCCGCACTGGGGACCACGTCCTGTGCATTACACGGTGTTTGGCAGCATTTCTGGATCTGACCCACTGCAGGCCAGCAGCATTCCCACTTCCAGCCCCTCACAGATGGGACAAGCAAAATGTGTCCAGACATTGCCAAATGCCCCCCGGCAGGCAAAGCCACCCCAGTCGGGAGCCCCTGTATGAAGCACGTCTCACAGAGCCTGAGAGAAGACCAGCCCTCAATGAGGGTTAGTTGGTGGGTGGCTGGTGCCGACATGAGGTCTACTTTTTCCGTTAGTCACATGGGGCTGACATACTCATACCAGGTGCTCAGGACATCCAGGACCCAGCCTCTCATGAGGCACCAAGACTGCTGTACTGTGTGACCTCTGGTGAGCAAGGCTACCTTTCTGGGCAGTAGCCTTCTAGCCTATAAAATGGAGAAACTAGAGCCGCTCTTTCACAGGGCTGTCAAGAGGATCTGATGAGAGAAAACTCCAGAAGCCTTTGGAGGCTCAGGCTCAGGACAAAGCTAGTGTGACACTGCCACCACCACACCAGGGAGCTGGGGCCGCAAAGGAAACCCGACGGCCCAGACGCCATCACCGAGGGTGTCGTGTGTGGTGCCAGTCGGGGCGGCAAGGGCTCTTCCAGAGTCCCGGGGAGCCTCTCCGAGGATAGCCCTGCGTCACCCGATCTCACGGCCTGGATCCTGCTTCTAGGCTGTCAGAGGGGCTCTTTCTACCCGCCCTTAACGTGGGTGCAGCTGTTGGCTCCACAGAGTCAGTTTTTGACTTACAGTGACCCCATAGGACAGAGCAGTACTGCCCTGTGGGGTTTTTGGGCTGGAATCTTTATGGGAGATCACTGGGTCTCTCTCCCACAGAGACGGTGGGCAGGTCCAAAGCAGTAATTTTCCAGTTAGCAGCTGAGTACTGAACAAGTACGCCTCCAGGGCCCCTCTTGGACATGGGTAGGGACCTCTACCAAGGCCTTCGCTCGCCCTGGTGATTATTAGGGAAAGACAGTGTAACTAGACACTATGTGAGAGGTGCCCATGAAGTCCACCCAGCCGCTGGTTATCTCAGCTGGTGAGGCATCTCTGTGATACATGAAGTCACCTGCGTTAGGGTCGCTGCTCCCCAGCCAGCAGCCTTGCTTGGTAAAGGAGAGGGTCTGCGAAAAAGGGGAAGACCCTCAATGAGATAGACTGACACAGTGGCTGCTACCATGGGCTCAAACTTAGCAGCACCTGTGAGGACGGCACAGGACCAGGGCCAACAACTCTATTTAAGTAGAAACAGGGCAACCAAACAAAGGAAAACATCCGGAAGCGGCCAGGCCCCAGATTCTGGCTCGGCAGGCTCACTTCTGGAAGCACGGTGCCTGGCCGGTTTGTGGGCATCACTGCTTCACTGCTCCCTCTGCAGGCAAGCTGCCCCGTCCTCCTCTCTGCTGCCAGACAATCTGATAAGGCTGACACAGTAAACACAGGAAGAGGTCGGGCTGTGGCTCCCTCCCTGCCTGTGACCCACTGCCCAGGAGCCCAGCTCTGCTCACCGGACCTGCGCAGGATGCGAGCACACCAGGGCCCCTCATCCAGGATTCATCAAACACTAAAGAAGTGGACACAAATTAAGTATCTACAGTGCATCTCAAGTGTGGGTTTGGTGGTTTTCACAGCTCTTGTCTCATTTGATCCTCATGACAACTACGTAAGGTCAGACAGTAACTACTTTCATTTGTACAGATGAAGAAAAAGATGGTCAGGGAGGTGATAAGGCCTGCCTTGGTCCCAAAAGCATGGTAATTTTTAAGCGTATAATGAATAATAAGAGGAAATATTTGCATGGAATCTTCCTATGAGCCTGGTCCTGTGCAATTGCTCATTTAACTTCACAGCAGCCCCCTAAGAATAAGCAGTGTTCAATTCCCATTTAACAAATGAGGTGACTGAGGCTTGAAGCATTAAGCTAACTGGGAATAAACCAGATGCCCATCATGTTAAAGTACAAACATTTGAGAGCCACTGGAAAGAAGAGGACAGACCAGCGGCTCTTCCCAGAGGACATTAGCAGTGTAGAGACATTTCTGTCATAGTTTGGTGAGGGGATGCTACTAGCAGCTACTGGTGGCAGTCAGGAATGTTGCTCAGCATCCTACAATGCAATGGACAGCCCCCCCACCCCCAACAATTAGCCAGCGCCAAATGCCAACAGTGCCAAGAGTGAGAAACCTGAGGGAAGATACACGTGAAAACACCCGGACAATCTGAAACGGGTGCTGTCGAGTAAAGAAAACCAACAATGCACCCAGCATCATATCATTAATGTGGAAAAGCAAAAAAAAATAAAAACACAGCTGTATCTGCCTGTGTCTGCAGGTTCTGTAACCTGGAAACAGTGATGCCTCTGAAGGGCTCTGACGTGGGGGCCCAATGGTCTTAAAATAAAAACAATCTCATGAAATACTTGCAAAATTCAAAATATTTCTAATAAAATCGAATAAAACAAAAAGTCACTAGCCCAAGCCACAGGGTATATAAGACGGGACCAGAATTTGGACTTGGCCCTGAGCTGAGCCCTGAAGGTGACCTCCCCATCCAGTGGCGGGGAGGCGGGAGGACTCCAGGTCTAAGCACCTTAGCTACCTGCCAGCTGGTGCCAACCAGCAAGCACCTACTGCAGGATGCCCAGCTGCCCCAGAGAAAAGGACCGACCAGAGTTAGCACATAGAGGGGAGTATACGCAAAATCCCGAGAACCACTCGGAGCCCAAATCAAACCACGTAATTGTTGGAATGAGCAGTGGCTACAGAAGGTTTCATATGCTGAACAGCAAGGATAAGAACATCGGGAGAGAGGCGGTGAGATAGGGGTAAGGGGTAGTGCAAATCCCTCCCAGTTCTCAGGCGCAGCCCAGCCCAAGTAAGGGGTCAGCATGACCAAATGAGCCAGAGAAATGCAGCCTGGAGTTGGCAGATGAAAACTTCTTTCCCAGGCTTGTCCTAATCCAAAGCTGTCACCTTCCTCCCAGGGCAGGGCCACATGGGGAGGTCCACAGGTGACACCATGGGGAAAGGATGATGCCCTCCTTCCCTAGCACCTACAGTCCCTCCTGGGCCTCTGCTGGCCAGTCTCCCTGTCGGCCCCCTGCCTGGACTGCCATGCCCTCCATGATGGCTTTTCCTGGCATACTCCTATCCATATTTTCAGAAGCAGTTCTGTCGCCTCCTCCTGGAAGCCCTCCATCATCTTCCTCCCTGCCAGAGGAGGAGAAGTGCTTCCCCTCTGAGCCCTCAACAAATCTCAAGTTATTTCTTGACGGTCTGTTGATCTGACAGGTTCTCCCAACACGGTAAACTCCTCAACAGCAAGGCTGACAACTTGTCCGGTCCATATCCCTGGCACACACTCATACCAGGTGCTCAGTAAATGTTTGTTGCATGGTGGTGCAAGGCTGACAGGGCCCAGCCCGACTTCTTGCCCTGCTCAGGTGTGCAAGGGCAGCACAGCATGCTCAGGATGCACCTCTCTGTTTTCAGTGAACACCCAACGAGAACCTACAACGTGCCAGACACTGCTGGGGCTCGTGGCTCACCAACCCCTGGGCCCACAGGACCCAGCAGCGGACGGTACTGATTCTCTAGCTGGGTTGCCAGGGCCCAGGGCCCTTGTTACATGGGCTGTGGCTGAGAGGCCTCCTGGGCAGGTGAGTGCTGGTTCCAGGTCCTCATCTGGGCACATACGGCTCTGTAGACCCTGCCTCTCGCACTTCTATTTCCAGTCTGTCCCTCAACCACCCACATCCTCGTGCCTTTGCATATGGTACTTCCTCTGTATGAAAACTCCTATTGAGTCTTCAAAACCCAGCATCCCTGCCACTGGGAAGCCTTCTGGCTCCTCTCCTAGGTAAGGTCATCACTGTACTCTCTGGCCCACATGCCTCTATTTTTGCTGTGGGTGCGACCAAAGTGGTCTTTCTATAGCAAGTAAAGAGCTCCTGGGGGGCAGGAACTGCCTTTGTCACCTTGGGATTCCAACATACAGCACAGAGCTGGGCACCCAGAAGGGACGACGTCACTTCTTTGTTCTCCCTGCTGAGAGGCCTGTTTCATGGCTGAAAATCACCCAGGAAGATATTTCCATGCTTTTATCATAAGTCCTGGAAAATATCCCCTCACTTTGCAGATCAGAGGGGATTAGATCCAGGTTCTATCTGTAGATTAAGTAGGAGATGTGTCCTGGGGCAAGAAAGAGAACGCTTCCCTTCAGCTAAAACAGTTCTGTCTCTGAATAAATTATATGGTCCCTGCCATCTCCTCCTGCCTTCAGATCCCCGTGGCAGACTCAGGAAGGGGGAGGCAGTTAGACACATTTGCTATAAACCTCAAGGACTGATAATTATCCCCTCCTCTAACCAGCGGGGCTCTGAAACACGCAGAGGTAGGTCGGCGACAGCAAAGACAAAGCCCAGTGGTTCATGCTGGTGCTCTCAGAATGAACTGAAACGGGACGGAGGGTGGGCCCCACGGGCAGAGGGAGAGAGCCGGCAGACACTTACCACAATGATGTTTTCATGCTCTTGGGTAGTCAAGTTCGTGTTCTTAGGGGTTGAACAGGGAAAGCAGGAGGGAAACAAACAGATAAAAAGCAGCATTAGGAACATGGAGCATTTGCATGTCAAAGGCCCACCGGGTTTCAGAACGCTCTCGGACAGAGCCTCTGGTTGCCGCTGCTCACGGTGACCTGGTGACCCGCCATACGAGACCAGACCTCCGGGACCCACAGGGTCCCACAGGCTGGTTTCCTGAAGTAGATCACCAGGCCTTTCTTCCTGGTCTGTCTTAGTCTAGAAGCTCCGCTGACTCCTGCTCAGCATGACAGTCACGTGCAAGGCTCCAGTGACAGGCGGTGGTGGCTGTCCACGAGGTGTGCTGCCTGGGAACTGAACCTGGGTCTCCCCCATGGAAGTGAGAATTCCACCACTGAGGCATTGTGCTTCCCAGACACAGGCCAGTCGTCTTAATTAAAACCATCAGAGCACCCACAAAGGCAAGGTCACAAAGGCAGCCTTGAGGTTTGAGACAGGGCAGAAGGAGACCAGGCCATCTCTCTACTTGCCAGTCATGTGACCTTGGACAAACCCCTTCTCTATGGAGACTTGCTTCCCCTTTCTGTAAACTGAGATCACGGTAACCACCCCCTCCCAGGCTGCTGTGAGAAGCCAGACGGACAGACCTGGAGTCCCGCTCGGGCCTTGTGGCTGAAATCTGAAGGCAGGTTCATAATAAACACGTAAGGAGACAGACCCTCTCTGAGCCTCAACTCTGAGCCATACACTTTTAGGGGCAGCACATATTATTTCAGTGGTTCTCAAACTAGGTTCCCAGGGGACACTGGTATTCCATGAACTGGCCCAAGACATTCCGGCTAAATTCAAATCCCAGCAATCAGGTTAAAACGTGCTTAATTTTAGTTTCCTTCCCCCTACCTAAAATTTTCTTATTTATTTGATGCCTGTTACCTGATCTTGTTAGCATGTGGACAAGGAGTATGCAATAAATAAGGAATTGTGGGAAAACTAAAAACAACAATTATCTTTTTTGGTAGTTCAGTGTTTTACCTGAGGTTTTTTAAAAAATAATTTATTAAGGTGTAATTCACCTAAAATTAACCACGTAAACATAAGCAGTTCAGTGGCACTCAGTGCAGCTGTGATGTTGTGTGGCCCCCATTCTAGCTCCCCAGTGTTGCCGTCACTCCAAGGTGAGACCCCTCCGCACTGAGCGGCCCCTCTCCGCCCCCACCCCTCACCAGCTCCTGGCAACCAGCAGTCTACGATGTGTCACCGGCTCGTCCAGGTCTGGAGTCTCAGCTGAGTGGCGCCGTGCAGCACACGCCGTGTCTGCCTGGCTCCTTTCCCTCGGCACAGCGTCAGCACGGACATGACGCTGTGGCAGGTAGCAGGCCCCGCCCCGTCCCGAGTCTGGATACGATCCTGCGGCGTGTGCTTCTATGTATCTGTCTGTCTGGCTGTAAGTTCCCACTGCCCAGCAGAGCCATGTCTGCAGTTCCTCATGTGACTCTTCACTTCAACAGGGAACTGGCAACACAAGTCGTTCTGGGAAGAGCCCCATAGCTCCTACCATCAAGAACAGGCTTAGGACCGCAGCAGCACTCCACGTGTTCACACCAGAGAAGGGGGGCGGATGGGTCATCGAGAAGTTGATTTCCCCAAGAGGCCGCTATCTGAGGGGTGGCCAGAGCCTGCGGACCAGGGTCAGGGTGTGAACGCCTTCAGGCCTGTTGGGACGTCCTGGGGCCACAGGTTCCCATGGAGGATGCTGACCGGCTTAGACGTGCCCTGAGGCACACACTCCAAGAATCCTGGGAAGGACGCTTTCTGGAACCTGCCACCTTTGCCCCTTGGTGGATGTTAGTGGAGCCTGACCAGCTTTATTCATGGCAGATCACTGAGTATCCATCTCAGCACAGTATATGCTGCCTGCACATGTCCCTCCTCTCTCTGTTGTGACAGTTGCACTCACTGTCCCCCTTGACTGACAAGCTCCCCAAGACTCCCAAGCTCACAGGGGTGCAGTCATCTGTCAGGAGCTAACAGGTGGTGGGCTAGGGGCTCTGACCCATCTGTCTTGATTCCTGGAGTCTTTGGCGGGGGATGGGGTAGGTGGGTAAAGGGTTATCACACTTGTTTGTCATCTGAAAGGGTGGAGGGTTGCGTCCACTCAGCCTTGAAAGAAGGGCTGTGATCTACTTTCCAAACACCAGCACAGTTCTCTGACACATCCGGGGTCAAGAGGAGTCAGGAGCTGACTTGATAACGACTGGTCTTGATTCATAAGGCCGCATTTCTAACCACCGAGATGGCACCCAGCCCATCCAAGGGACAGCTCCGTACAGGGGACCAGTCCACCCTCACCCCTACCCCTGTGCCTTCCAGGAACATGACCACAGACGCCGTGTCCTTTGTCCTGGTCACCTGCTGCAGCCCCTGCTGTTCTGCAGGGAACCTTCTCCCCGCCAAGGCCATTTTCACCCTGGGTGGGGAGTGCTCGGGAACAGGGCCTCACAGGACACAGAGGACTCCCAGCTAAGCGGCCGCTCCACACGCTCAGCTCAGTGAAGGCCTAGAGGCCAGATGCAGGCTCTGCTCCACCTGCGGATGGGCAGCTCCTTCTCAGAACGCTTTTCCCACCTTGACAGTCCCCTCCACAACTCTCCCTCCTTCTGGAACCTTCTACCCTCTGGCTGTTCAGTGATACCTGGTGTCTCTCCCAAGAAGCCTCAGCAGAGGAGGATCTGACAGCAGGTACAAGCAGGCCCTGGTCACGACCTCCCACCTGCGGACAGCTCCTCTCCGCCCTTCAATGTTATGTGAATCTGCCCTCACTTTGACATGACTGAACCAACAAATCGTTCATTACAATCAAATTCTTCATGTGCAGCTTTTCAATCACTGAAAGGGCTTTGAGCCTTTATTTGCACTAAAATCAAAATCAAAAAACCAAACTCACTGCCATCGAGTCGAGTCAATTCTGACTCACCGAGACCCCCATTGGGTTTCTGAGGTTATAAATCTTTACAGAAGTAGATCACCCCATTTTCCTTCTACGGGGTGGCTGGTGGGTTTGAACTGCTGACCTTCTGGTTAGCAGCCAAATGTCTTACCCACTATAGGATCAGAGCTTCTTGCACTAAAGTGAGGCTAAGTAAGAACCATATGCACTTGCTCTGACTTACCTACAAAATCGACTTAAAGACACTCAGGAGCAGATCTCGTTCGTAACCAGGGACTGCCTGTACTCTAAGCCAAAAAAGGATGAGGTAGGGGGATGTGTTTGTTTTTCCTCTGACAGCTTCCCCTCTAAACAACTGGCAGTCCCTGGGTTACAAACGTCTGACTGACAGACAACTCTTACTTTTCAGCAGGGCTTAGAACTGGTTCAAACCAGTTCTGTCATGGCTGATGGAGTGAAATAGAAACAGACCTGAATTTTTCCAATTTGAGTGATTCATGACAGTAGCAGGAATGGGCAAAGTTATGGGCTGAGGCCTTGGAATGGGAGCCCCTCAGAGCCTGACGCTGGGGACTGGGTCACTGGTAGGATCATGGAGAGCCACACACAAAAAAGCAGCACGGTCAGCCACCAGGTACAGCAGGGCAGCGCCGTTTCAGCCCACAATTTGTCCTGTATTTATGTAAATGTGAATTTACTCTCCCTGTGAAATTGAACCAACTCCTCACAACAAATCCTTCAGCACAGTCACTTCACTTGCTGCAGGTACAGCTTTTAAATCACTGAAAAGGTATGGTACTCTTTCCTCTGCTACCCAAACCACACCCAGTTCTGTGGAGTCTATCCCGACTCACAGCGCCCCTAGAGGACAGAGTGGAACTGCCCCACAGGGTTTCCTAGGCTGTCAATCTTTACAGGAGCAAAGCCCAAACCACACCTACGGCTGTAAAGGCCACGCTCAAGGGCCTAGTCACAACTACCTCCTATAGCAGGAAACATTTTGACCACTGATCAAATGCTCACATCACACCAGGCAGAACACTAAGCATGTCATAGGTATTATATCCCCCAGTCCTGTCTGTGAAATGGGTACTTTCATTCACCCTGATTTACAGATAAAAAACTGGGTCCAATTAGTGACGTGTCCAAGGCCACTTAGTGACTGAGGGCAGGACCACACTATACACTCTTAACCACTGTCCGACGTAGTCTGGTCTCCCCACCAACTCAAATGGATGCCACCTTGATGAGTGTGGGCTCAGTGAAGGCACAGACTGGGCAGGTCCTGACCCACCACTTGTCTGAACAACCTTGGCTAAGAGATTTAATCTCTCACGCCTTGGTTACGCCTCTACTATTTTTTCATGGGGGGGGGGTAGTCATCACCATTATTTATTTCCAGAACTTTTCATCACCCCCAATAGAAACCCTGTACCCACTAAGCATTAACTCTGCATCTCCCAGCCTCAGGTAACCACTAACCTACTTTCTGTCTCTGCATATGTGCCTACTGCAGCTATTTAATATGACAGAGATCATACTGTATCTGTCCATTTATGACTGATAGAGTCCACTCAGCATAATGTCTCCAAGGTGTGGCCATGTCACAGCATGACACAGGACTCCACTTCTCTTTACGGCTGAATAACATTCTGTTGTGCGTATGGGCCACATTTTGTTTCTCCATTCTCGGTAAGGTATAATACCTGGGGGAAATTAAAAAGACCTCTCCAAGTGCCTGGCAAAGTGATGGTCATGTTGGACGTGCTTGAAATACTGGCAGTGTCACGCGGAGAAGCTCTGGGCCTTAGCCAAAGAGGTGCTGAGTCAGTCGATCCAGGTTGGGCCCAGCTCTGTCCCTTAGCAACTGTGGCTTTCGTTGGTACAATGGGATGAATGATACTGACCTCTGGCCTGACATACACTGGGTGCACACCAAATGTCAGCAGCTGCTTTTTTCCTTAAATGTCTTTATCCCTCCAGCCCAGTACTTGAAGGTCAGCTGACCTGGAGGCCAAGGCTGTGGGCATGCAGTCACATGGGGCCTATTTGAGATGGGACCTGCCACAGGCTGGTGACAGTACGCTGTCCACCCTGCTCGCCATTGTCCTGACAACATGGTATAATCACAGCTGAGCCTGCTGGTGGGGCTGACAGGTGGGCAACGTGGCCTCATAATGAAGACACCATGTGAGCCTGGCAGGTCACCTGGTGTCTTGGCCTCAGCTTGCCCCTCTGTGAAATGGACACAGCATGGCCCATCTCTCAGAGAGGGCGAGTATTAAATAAGATGTGGTACATGTGGTGCCTGGCACCTGCCTGGCACACAGCAGGTGCTTACTAAAAAGCTGACCTGTGTTTCCTGAGTCTAGGTAAGAATCCTAGTAGCCTCATGGCCTACTTATTACATCCCTTCTCCTCTGCAGAGCAGGAAACCTGAGCCTGAGGCAGAGCATGTGGTCTTCTTGACTGTGGAATTCCAGACCTTGATTCCTACAATGCCTGAATTTTCACTCTTCTGTTGGACAGACTAGCCTCTCACCTCTGCGGAGAGAGAACAGTGTTCCAAGGCACAGGGAACACGTGTGGGGGCTTAGATGGGAATGCAGGAGCTCTGCCAGAGGCTAGAGGTGCCAGAAATGGGCTGGTCTCAGGGGAGGGAGCAGAGTGATCAAATCAGAAATCACCACCTCCAGTGTCCCCAGGGGGCCAGGCAGGAACCAAATGAGGTAAGTGTTAATATTTGCAAAGTGCCGAGAACAGGGCCAGGAACAGCATCAGCAGGGAGAAGTGTGTGTCCTAAGCACCTCTCCCTAGCTCAGGAGCAGTGTAAGTGACGTGTAACTGACCTGTGGTTAAGCCTCCTTGTTTATTGTCTGTCTCCCCTTCTGGGACACACACCCATGAGAATGGGGATTTTGTTTGGTTCAGATGCCTACAACAGTGCCTGACACACAACACTCAAAGTAGAGGGCTACCGGCAAGCCATGCAGCAGGGCCAGTCAAGCAATGGTCACGCCACGTCAGCCATGAGAGGCTGCCAGGCCTCTGACTGTGGGCGATGTGGGGCAACTGGGCAGAAAGCCACGCCTACCTGGAGCCCTGGAGCCGATGTGGGGCCAGCGCTGAGGCAGCCCAAACTGCCACAGGAGCAGAGAAGACAGGGGCTTTGCCAACCTGCTCTGTCCCAGGAATGAAATAGGCTCATGGCTAGTCTGCGTCCACGTGGCTCAGCTATAGCATCCAGTGATTTAATAAGCACTCTGGTAGCATAGTGGCTAAGGCACTTGACTGCTCACCAGATGGCTGGTGGTTCAAACCCACCAGCCACTCCTCGGAAGGAAGGTTGGGCAATCCTACTTCCGTAGTGATACTGCCTCGGAAACCCAAGGAGGGGTCGCTATGAGTCAGGGCTGACTCGACGGCACATAACAACAACAACAACAAGTGCCTAAGGCACTTGACTGCTAACCAGAAGGCTGGTGGTTCAAACCCACCAGCCACTCCTTGGAAGGAAGGCTGGGTAATCTACTTCTGTAGTGATACTGCCTCAGAAACCCAAGGAGGGGTTGCTATGAGTCGGGTCCAACTCCACGGCAGTGAGTTTGGTTTGGTTTAGTGCCTATTGACTGCTAACCAGAAGGCTGGCGGTTCAAACCCACCAGGCACTCCTAGGAAGGAAGGTTGCGGAATCCACTTCGGTAGAGATACTGCCTCAGAAACCCAAGGAGGGGTCGCTATGAGTCAAATCGACTCAACGACAGTGAGTTTGTTTTGGTCTAGCTGTGGCTGTGAATGTGTAGCTGAGACTAACTCTGCAGCCAGCTGACTAGATAAAGGAGGTCACCCTCAGTGGGTGGGTCTCATCCAACCAGCTGAGGCCTTAAGAACAAAAGAGGAGATTTCTCGGGGAAGCCATTCTTCTTGCATGCTGTCACGTCAGCTCCTGCCTGAGAGTCCTACCTGCCTGTCAGCCCTAATTGCAGCTGGCCAGCCCCACTGGCATGAACACTAACCTTTCAAAGTCAATCACTCTCTGTATTTGTATGTTCTGTAAGAATTCCCAGGTATAGAGTAGAGCTGACAAGGGACAAGTTTGTAGTCACTTCTTGGGCACAGCCAGCTACCCAGAGGGAGTGAATAGTTGGACCTGTATGCTCGGGACCATGGTCGCTAGGGATATCAAGCTCAATTGGCATAACATACTACACAAAATATTGTTCCACATCCTACTTTGGCGAATAGCGGCTTGGGTCTTAAAAGCTTGCAAGCGGCCATTTAGATGCAACAATGGGTCTCTCCTCATCCAAAGCAAAGAAGAATGAAGAAAGCAAAAGATTCATGGAAATAATTAGTCCAAGTGACTGGTACACCTTGCGATTCTCAGCCTATATGACTATGAGACCAGAAGAACTAGCCAGATGGTGCCCGGCTACCACTGTCACTTGGAGTGGGATTACGTAGGAGATCCTGGATAGAGAGGGAGAACAATATGGAACAAAACTCAAAATCGTTTGGAAAAAAAAGTGGGGGAGCCAGGTTTGCTGGTCCGATAGAGCCTGGTGGAACCACTGAGACTATGGCCCCTAGCTGCCCTTCAGGTCTGGAATTGAACCCACTCATGAGACAGGCATAAATTATGAGCTGAGCATTTACCTGAGGTAGATATGCTCCCTGGAGAGAACAATCATGGGAGAACAGAGGGCTGCGTATATACAGGGAGACAGCTCAGGGGGCAGGAGTGTATGGAGGGATGGACACAGGGAAGAGGTAACTAACTATTGGGAGGAAGTGGGAGGGGAGCTGTTGCACTGTGGGAAATTGCAGTCAATGTCATGAGACAAAGTGTATGTGAACTGCTTTATGGCAAGTGAATTTACTTTGTAAATTTTCACCTAAATCCCAATTAAAAAAAAAAAAAAATCATTACTCTCATTCAACAGTGGTGACGGTGATGCACAGCACAGTGGCCGTGATTAATGTCACTCGAGTATACACTTACAAACAGATAAAATGGCACACTTTGTGTTACATGTATTTTACCACAATAAAACATTTTCATCAACAAAATAAAACAAACCACTCTCTCTCCCTCTCCCCCACCCTTCTCTCTCTCTCTCTCTGGAGTCCCTGGGTGATGCAGTGAACACAGTCAGCTGCTAACTAAAGGGTGGATGCCTGGATTCACTCAGAGGTACCCTGGAACAAAGGCCTGGCCATCGACTTCTGCAAAACTAGCCACTGAACACCCTGTGGAGCCCAGTCCTCCACTGACACCCATGGGGTTGACAGGGGTCACAGCTGACTCAATGCTAACCACTCCATCTCCTTCAGAGTCTCCCTGGGAGGCTAGGAAGGAGATCACAGACTTCCTTAAGCCACTCAGAGAGAATACAAATCCAAATCGCATTCCACTCGTGTAGGCGGCTTGGTACAGGGTTGGTACTTGGCGGGAGGAAAGGGAACAGCTGAAAAGGACAGAGGGCTGAGTGTTACCTCTGAGAGCAGTTTGGAGACGATTTCCAGTGGGGCTTGGTTGATGGAGTCGTCCTGCAGAGGGGATGTCAGGGCCATGTCCACCAGAGTACGGATCTCTTTCAAGACGACTTCCCAGCGGCTTGGGTTGCTCAGGACTTTCTTGTATTTGTAAATCTTTTTCTGGACGGGAGAGACAAGGAGACAGGAACATGTTACTGATATGCCGAGGGTGGAAGACACGAGATGATTATGGAGCCAGGAGTCCTGGGGGTGGGAGAAGCGCGCTCCCTGCCCATCGGGTCATGGCACCACCAGGAAGACTTGCCCAGAGCCCCGGGGCACGCCTGCTGCCGCTGGGCCTCCGCAGCCCAGGAGGAGTACTTTCCACGATTTCCAAAGATTTAAAAAAGGAATCGCGACACTTTTCCTTCAGATCACATCCTCTGCCAAACTTCCATTCTCTGAGTGCTCAACAGTGGAAACATCTACAGGTCCACAAAGTGACTTTCCTTCAGTGGAAGGCACTGCTTCCGCTCATCCTGATCTTGCTAAGACACATGACGTGGCCGGGTGGGGACCAAGCTCAGAAAGGCCCCCGGGAAACGCGATGCAGCCCTCAGCATCCACCCAGTGACGAAGGGGCTAGTATCCTCACCTCCGCTCCAGTGCCTGTGTGTCCAAAGCTAGAGAGGTTGGGGCCAGGGTGCTGCCTGGATCTGACTCGAAGTTAGTTCCGCCTCTCTGACATCATGGAAACAGAGCCCTTGGAAGGCGGAAGGCAGAGGTCCCAGCCACACACTCCCTCCCGCCCGGCACTTCCCGGCCAGCCTGGGAGCCTCTTCTAACCTCACTTCATTAAGTGCTCTGCCCTTGGGGAATTTTAGTGTCACTGAGCCAGCAGCCATCTGGGGTAGCATGTCACAATCTCTGAGCCAAATTCTGAATGAGGGCAAGAAGAAGGAGAGGGTGAGGGTCCCCCACCGGCCCCTAAGGCTCAAAGAGAAGTTCAAAGGCCACCTGGATATCCCTGACGCTAGTTTCTGAATTAAGAGTTATAAAATGTGGTCTTGGGACCAATGCCCAAAAAGAAGCGTTTGGACAAAGGAACACCAAAGAGTGCTGAGAGATATCAGAAAACAGACATAGGCTCATAGACGGCATCAACGTGGCCCAAACCCCAACTTGGACTTTTAGACTCCAGAACAGTGAGAAAACAAACTCCTAGGGTTTTTTGTTTTGTTTTGTTTTTTAAAAAAGCATTGTTTGGGGAAGTCGTTGACATTGATGCTATGATGCTGGAAGCCATGCTACAGTACTTCAAATACCAGCAGGGTCACCCACGGTGGACAGGCCTGAGCAGATTAAAACAAGGGGGGTGTAGAAAGGCCTGGCAATCCACTTGTGAACATTAGTCAATGAGAACTGTGTGGATCACAGCCGAAAACTATCCTCTATGACGCAGGAAGATGAGCCCCAGGCCACTCAGACACTCAGGGGCCACCACGGTGGCTCCAGGAGACCAGTAATGGCGACCCTGGGGCAGGACGGGGCCACATTTCATTCTGCTGTGCCCAAGGTCGCCAGGAACTGGAGACTATTTGATGGCAACTAACAACAGAAACGAGACCCTGAGGAACTGAATAGCTGACTGGGCTCAGCGAAGCACCGCGCTGGAGCGTGAGGCATTGTGCTGGTGTGGAAAGCAGGCTATGGAGTCAGACAGACCAGGTTCTTCCTGTGAAGACTTTCACCAAATGAGCCTTACTTTCTTCTTCTATAAATACAGCACAAAAATAGCTTGTAGCTTCTTTCAGTCTGTGACCCTTATAAACCTGGGACCCATGTGGTCCACTCTGCAAGGAATTACGTTAAAAAACAAAATACCAAAGGAGAAATTCTAATCCTTAACTTATTTCCTTTTGAAAAACTACTGTAAAGGGGATCAAATTTACAACCCACAACAACATAAACGGTATCCCATTTCTTACCGCTCCATTTTTTCCCCACACCCCAAACTGTTTTGGAGACTTTTACATATGGATCATGCCCACGACAACCACCATCCCCACACAATTAACATACATCAAAGGCGTCTAAAACATTTTCTCCTTCTTGTCTTAGATCTTTCTCATGTAAACCAGCGTAGGAGCCCCTTCTTCTTTTCTTCTTCTCTCCATCCCTTTTACCATCACCCACCTAAGCCGATCGCACTGCTCTCTGCCCGTTCACCAATTCTGCATCAAGGAGACAAAGTTTTCAGGGACCCAAAGGGCAGAAGAAACAACCTGTAAACAAGCTGTTTAGGAAAACCATCCAACTTTTCATCAGCTAGAGGAGGGGACAAAGACCAGAAACATTTACTAGTTGATCATTTTTGATCCTATAAGGACTGGAGGAAATGCACAGCAGTTCACGCAGGTGGGTGTTCAGTGAGGGGTAAACATGCTGTGGGTGGCAGTGGGGGTGTTGAGAGGCATTCGCTGAACTCCACGACTTCAGTGATGTGAGGCACCCAGTCACGAGGGCTCCTCGATAGTGTACCGCCATCCATGACTTCAGTGACGTTGAGGCACCCAGTCACGGGGGCTCCTGATAGTGTACCGCCATCCATGACTTCAATGACGTGAGGTACCCAGTCTTGGGGGCTCCTCCGTAGCGTACCGCCATCCACGACTTCAGTGATGTGAGGCACCCAGTCACGAGGGCTCCTCGATAGTGTACCGCCATCCATGACTTCAGTGACGTTGAGACACCCAGTCACGGGGGCTCCTCGATAGTGTACTGCCATCCATGACTTCAATGACGTGAGGCACCCAGTCTTGGGGGCTCCTCCGTAGCGTACCGCCATCCACGACTTCAGTGACGTGAGGCACCAGTCACGGGGCTCCTCCGTAGCGTACCGCCATCCATGACTTCAGTGACGTGAGGCATCCAGTCACAGGGCTCCTCCGTAGCGTACCGCCATCCATGACTTCAAAGACACGAGGCACCCAGTCATGGGGGCTCCTCCACAGTGTACCGCCATCCACGACTTCAGTGATGTGAGACACCCAGTCACAGGGGCTCCTTGGAAGCATATCACCAGCTTTCTTCCTAGCAGATGTCAGCTGAAGCCTCCCTGCCCGATGCCATAGCTGGAGTGTGTGTCTTAGCCACACAACACAGAGTGTCCAGAAGTGAGCCAACCCCACCCCGGAGGATGAATGCCTCTTTGACTCCCCAGGACTGTGGTTTTCATCCACACTCAGAGAATTGTTTAATTTTTAAATGACCATGAAATGGGCACAAAAGTCCACCATCTATTAAGAAACCCACAGCGATCCATCCCCGTATCTTCCCACAGCAGATTCTAGATTCGAGTCTGGGCTGGGCTCTAAGTGCCCTCTCTTCTGATCAGCTGCAAGCTAGTTCCGTTTGAAAGAACAGTGACTTTGTGATTGTTGCGAGACCAATGCAGGCCCATTATAAAAGACATAAGCCACAATGATGAGCGCCAACATGGGCGCAAACAAGTCCTCGAGAATCGCACAGCCCAGAGATAACCAGCACTAGCGCCTGGTGGACACTGTCCCAGCCAACCCTCAGCTAAACCTGGCAAAAGACAACAAACGTTTTGGGTTGGTGCCCTGCCCTCCACAGACTGGCATCCCTGGGAACACAGAGTTAAAATGGGGCCCAGCTGAGTACTGCGGTACGGCCTCAAATACAGTCCCCCTCATAAGGGAACCAGCCTCAGGACCCACTAGATACACTCAGCCTTATTAGGAGGCGGATGGAAACAGCTCCCCTGTGGGTGTCCAAGCCCCTACTTAAAAGGCTACATTCAAAAGCAGAAGGCCCCAGTTGTTGTAACGGCAAACTTTCAATAAGCACCATGCTGTGCATCCAACAGGCATGTAATCCTCATAGTAACTCTGAGCTGGGGCTTGTCACAGGCTATGTTCTGCCCAGAAGCAGACCAGACAAGAAGCCAAGTACAGATGGTTTATTTGGGAGGTGACGGTAGGAAACATCAGTGGGGGAAAGTGAGCCAGGGAAGAGAAGGTGGTCGATAAATGGGACATCCTCAAGCACTGGGACGAAGCCAGCAGGCATGCTGTCCACTGCGGGCAAGTGGGGCTCAATCCTGCCAGGAACCCCTAGCCCAGGTCGCCTGTCTGCGACCGGTGGAGGCTTTTCCTGGGCACAAACCCTTCAGTAATTCTGGCCTGCCCCAGGTCCAGGCCAGAGTGATCCCACTGCCAGAAGAGACACGCCCTCAGCAGAGCTACAGGGTCGATGGTGAGCAGTCTCGGTGTAGAAGGCTTCCCTGCAGCTGCAGCCATGGGTGTGTGACTGTCCTCTGCTGACACACAAGAACACCAACGCCTACTGAGGGTAAGTGACTGACCCCAAGGCAGGCAGCCAAAGAGGGGCAATTCAGGATTCAAAACTGGCTCTGGTCAACTCCAAAGTGCTCACTGTATCTCATCAGTCAGGGCCAGTGGAGTTGGGAGGAGAGGTGGGGATGGAGAGAAGGGTAGGTACTTCAAGCCATAAGGTGAAGAAGGAGGCAAGAAGGCTTGGTGGTATAGGGCAAGGCTCTGAGACCCAGAGGCTAGTGATGAGAAGGGGGAGAGCTGTGGGGAGGATCAGGAAGCCTGGGCTGCCACATTAGGACGACAGGGAGCGAGCCGGTCCCTGGGCTGCCACATTAGGACGACAGGGTGTGAGCACATCCCTGGCTCCTAGAGGAGGCACTGAGCCTGGCAACAGGGCAGCCTAGAGAAGAGGAAGGCGTGTCTAGGACCAACAGGGGCCCAGTTACTCCTCCTCATGACACACTAGTGTGCTTCATCCCAGGAAGCCCCCTGTGCTCATCAGGCGATGAATCATGGTGGGACGGGAACAAGGACGCCTCCAGAATCCTGAGTGCCAGGCTCCCAGCAGCCCGGCTCCCAGCTTCACAGCATGACCTTCCAGCCAACCCTAGCCCACCAAGGGGAGTGGATGGTCTGCTGGCTGTCCAGGATGGTCCCCTCAGGCCAAGGGATTCCTTGAGGCAGGAGTAGACAGAGGCCTGGTGACTGTCAGACGTTCAAAGAGAGGCTCTGGCTTGAAACAGGGGTTGACAAACTACAGCATGTGATGTGGGTCAAATCTTCCCAACACTGTTTTTGTATGATGGTGCCAAGAAGTGC